CCCTTGCTCAGCGGCCGTTGATTCATTCTGCACTGGGCCCCGCTCTGTGCGTTAGTTGTAACGGCTGCCACGTGGGGCCGGGAAGAAACGTTTCCCCTCCTGCTGCTCCACGTGTCAGGGGGTCTTTCTGTGCCCCCCAGAGGCGCTGGGGCTGCCATAGCCCGGGCTGGGCCAATGCTGCTGCTGTCCCCAACCCCACAGGGTCCTGGCTGGAGGGTCTTGCCCCTGCGTTTGGGGGTCTCGGCACGTTTCGCCCCACTGTGCAGAGGCAGGAGGTGGGCTGGCCGCCCCACGCCAGCGCCTGGCAGCAGCCGGAGTCCGCCCCACTGTGCACAGCCCCAGCTCCAGGGAGCGTGGCAGGCACTGGTAGGCGGGGGGAGTCAGTGCTTAAGCTGCTTGATTAGGAGCTTAATTTCACCAAATCTATGCAGGTGTTTTACAGTCCTCCGCCTTGCCCCCGGCTGGTTCAGCACAAGTCGGTTCTGCAGGACCTCGCTGCCGGCCGGCAGAGCCCTCAAGCTGCCCCCACCCCGTCTGCAAGGACACAGCTGGGGACGGGCCCTTCTTCCCTGCCCTGCCCTGCGCTGTGGGGCGTCGTAACCGTCCCTCTCCTCTTCCGCAGGCGGCTGAATCGGAACCAGCTGCACGCGCTGCCGGAGCTGCTGTTCCAGAACAACCAGGCCCTGTCGCGGCTGTGAGTCCCTCGGCGCGGGTCCGGGGGTCCCGTGGGCGCGGGGGGCTATGCCGCGGCTGGGGTGGGGAATGCAGCGGGTCCGGGTTTCCGACCCGGCGCCCCAAGCCGTGGCACTGGTGCCAGCCGGGGAGTGCCCATAGTCGTGGAGGGGTGCCGGCTGGTTCCCCAGGGTCCGCGGGGTGGCAGCAGCCGGCTCCGGCAGGCCTGGAAGATCAGTGTCCTGACCGGGCTGGGCTGGGGGCGTTCGAGCCAGCGGCGAAACCTGGGCAGCCGAGTGAGCCGGAGGAGCCGGTGGTCCCGCCACCGGGTGCAGCTTTCTCTGGGCTGCTGCAGACTTTCGGGGGGATGTGGGGTCAGTGCGTCTGCCCGGGGCTCGGGCCCGTTCTGCAGCTTTCACTTGCATCCTCGTGTGGCCCGGGTGTGGGGCACGCGCGCTCCTGTCCGCAGAGCCAGCTAGGGTGTTGCTGCAGCTTACAGTCTGCTGTGGCTCCGGTGCCCCGTGGCACGCGGGTGCCGGAAACGTGGGCGCGGCAGTGACTGTCCCTCTCGCGCCCTGGCATCGGGGTTGGCTGCAAGTCTCAGGGCTGGGTGGTGTGGGGTCAGGCAGGGCGATCGAGAAGGGAGTGCCTGGCCACGCTGCTCCGTGCGGTGCCCGAGGGAAGGCGTTGGCCCCGGGCTCGTTGGCGCAGGAAGCTGCAGAAGCCGCTTGGACCGTGGCAGTGACGGGCTGCTTGCTCCAGGGGCCGGGCCACCGCATCATCTTGGGGGCTGCGTGCCCAGCTTGCCCCTGGCTGGGGGGGTGCATCTCAGGCCTGACTCAGCTTCGGCTCTGGCCGTGCCCAGGGCAGGGAGAGGGAGACCCAAGGCCCAGCCGTGCTCCCAGGCCGCCCAGCGAGGAAGCAGAGGACAGCCCGGCCCCAGACGCTAGTGCCGTCATTTGGGGGTCTCGTGAGTGATGCGGGGTCTGCCGGGCTGGGGGGTTCCCGGGGCGTCCCGCGGACAGCCGCCGGCCCCTCGCTGGGGCCCGGGGTGCAGGCAGGGGCGCGTCTCCGGCCCGGGATGGCCCGTCTTCCCATCCAGGTGCAGGCGGCGGGGGGGAGCAGGGCCGGCGGCTCCGGGATTGTTTCCTCCGTTTTGTGCGTGGGAGAAAGGCCGAGAGCCGGGGCCGGTGCCAGGTCCCTGAAAAGCCGGTTTCTGCGGCAGCCGTTGCTATGGCGGCAGATGACTCCGGCTGGCTCCCCGCCATCGGGCACCAACTGGGCTCGTTTACCTCAGCAGCGCCGTTAACTCTTGACGGAGGCACCGTGCCCCCCACCCCGTCCAGCCTCCGCCCCGGCCTCCCTTGCCACGCGGGCTGGGCTGGGCCAAGGGGTCCCGGGGGCCAAAGCCCTGAGACCCCAGGCTTAACCCTTCCCTTGCTGGAACCCCCCACGCTGCCCCTGGGGCCAGCGCAGCTCGGGGGCAGGATCGGGCCCATGCGGGAGCCGGTCGGTGCTGGCGTTGTGCCCATCGGGGCGCCGCGTGTCCTGGGTTGGCAGGGCCCCGTGCCCGGCTCTGTGCTTCGGGGTGGGAGAGGCTGGATGGTGCAGAGCAGCAGCCGCGGGAGGCTGACGGTGCCCCGTTCCCCGGGCCTGGCACACGCTGACCGCTCCCCCGTCCTGCTCCAGATGTCGTCGGTGCCGCGGTCTTGCTCGCATTCAGCCCCGTGGGGTCTGGGCTCTGGACTGAGCCTCCAGACGCTGAGCCCAGACCCCGGCTCCTGGCAGGACCTCGGGCCTGTCACTAAATCCCCCCCAGGCCCCGTTCCCCGCTGGCAGATAACATCCCCCGAGGAGGGTGCAGGTCTGGGAGCACCAAGGGCAGCACGGCGAGGACATGTCCCAGGCCTGCTCCCCGCAGCCCCCGCGCGAGCTGCTGTTGCAAAGAGTTAACGCGGAGCCGGCTGCCAGCTCGCGTGTGAAATGGTGGCTGGGCGCCCGGCTCGGCAGCGTCTGCGGTGGCAGCTGAGCGCACCGCCTCCCCGCTCGTTAGCGCGCGGCACTGCTGCGGGCTCAGCTGCGCTGCAGCCTGGCGGTCCTCGAGAGCCAGCGCGGCCCGCAGCCCCCACGGCTCGCGCAGGCAGCGCCGTGACGATAATTAAAGGGGAAACGTCTGTAGTGTCACAGCAACCTGCTCAGATGGTTAATAATAAGACATCCAGCCTGCGGGTGCAGCCACGAGGCAGCCCTGGCGCTGCAGGGGTGCTGGCGGGGTCCCTCCGTGACCATGCATTTCACGCAGCGTGGGCGCGCACAGGGCTGTACGCGTTCGTGTGCATGTGGGGGCGCGGGCCCAGGGGCGGCAAGGAGGAGGGATGAGAAGTGGAGGGGAGGCTGCTGAGCTCCCTCCTGGCCTTCCTCTGAGCATGTGCCTGGCACCGTCCACCTGGCCCAGGGTTTCCGAGGCTGCGTTGGCTGGTCGCTGCGTGGGGCAGGAGGGAATTTGATTTCTCCTCCTGCTTCTGGGCTTTGTTGCTTGCAGCATGGGGCTGGGAGATGATTCCACCCCCACTTTCTGCTCCATGTGTTGGGGGGTTTAATCCTCCCCCACAGGCACTGGGTGCTGCAGCCCGGGCTGGGGATGGGGCTGGGTTGTGTCAATGCTCTTGCTGGCACCAACCCCGCAGGGTCCTGGCAGGAGGGTCTTGACCCCGCGCTGCACTGGAGCAGGGAGGGATTTCCCCCCTGCTCAGACGGGTGCTCCCACGGCTCCACTAGTCTGCGAGCGCTTCTCAGTGGGGGTGGCAGGGTGTGAAGCCCTGGGCACGGCCCTGCTTGGGTGTCTCACCCCGTGGGGGTGCTGCCTGCGGCGGGATGCTGGGTGTCCGTGGACTTGTGCTGTGGACTCGTGGCACTGCGTGGGTTTGCTGCTGCTGGTTGGGCAGGCCGGGCTCCGCGGCTGCCAGCACCGCCATCCAGAGCCTGGCGCTGCAGCAGGGAGCTTGGCTCTGCCAGGCTGCGCCCAGCCCAGCCCAGCCCTGCCCTAGCAGGCGACGGCTGCACGCGGCTGCCACAGGAGTCCGACCCCCCCGGGCTGCGGCGCTGCTCCAGCCGGTCCCTGGCAGCGTCTGAGCCGTGTGGCTGGTTCCAGGGGCGCTGAGCCAGGCTCTGCTTCGGGACCTGGTCTCCATCCAGAGGGACTTTGCTGCCGGAGCGAGCTCCTGCCTGGAGCTAGCAGAATCCGGCCCAGCCCCGGCTGGGCTGGGCGCTTGGTGCAGGCTGCATCCCGTGTGCCCCACGTCGCTTCAGTGGCCCTGCTGCTGCAATGCCTTGCCCAGGAGCTCCTGGAGCCCACGGCTCCGACCCGCTGGGCTGCCCACCTGGGGTCCTGGCAGTGGTTTCCGTAGGAGGCTGGTTCCTGCCCGCGACCCTGTCCCCATGTCGGAGCCCCGGGGCCGGGAGCCTCCACCCCTGCCCTGCTCCCAGCTTGGGGGAGAGGCGAGTCGGTGGGGGCTGGCCCCACCTGCCCACTGCCTGAAGGACAAGCTTCCCAGGGCTGCTGGCCTGGGGTCTCCGTGGCCTATTGTCGGCAGTCATGATGGGGCCTCTGATGCAGCGCGGGGGCCCTGGCCGGCTCTGGGTCCTGTGCAGCTGCCTCCTTTCCCCGGGCCAGGTGTAACCTGCAGATGAAAGTGCCCAAGTCCACGGGGTCCTGCTGCAGCAGGCTGTCCCTGGCGTGGGCTGTGGCCCTGGTGCAGCCCTGAGACGGTGGAGGGGAGGGATCCAGCGTTGCTTTGTGCCCATGGCCCTGGGAAGAAGCACGAACTTCACTGCGTTGCTGCTCTCCTGGCTTTGCTCTGGCATCTCGCAGGCCACGTCCATGGCTCTGCCCAGCCTGAGCTCCCCTGCTGCGTGGCCAGGCCTTCCCCGGAGCAGCGGCTGCTGGATGAGGGGGGCAGACGTGGCTGGGGGACGCATCTCCGCAGGCAGCTGGTGCCGTGGTCTGGCGATCACAGGGCGCAAGCTGGACTCGATGCCCCCTTGGGCTGCCTGGTGCCATAGGGGGCTGCACCTGGGGAGGTGCGAGGGCCGGGCTCTTGGGTGGGGACACGCCGTGGCTGGAAGCTGCAGCCGGACGCTGGGAAGAGAAATTGGGGGCGGCTGAGCTGCCCCATCAGCGTGCTGCTGCAGGGGGACGTTACCCCCTCTGTGCTCAGTTGTGCGGTGTCATGGGCCTGTCCTGCCCGAGCACCGTCTGCCCCACCTCCGGGTGGGCTGGAGCTGGCACTGGGGCTGCCCCCTTCCCACGTCCCCCTCTTTTGGGAGCTCCCCCCGCCTTGAAATCCAGCCTGTCACCTCCTGGCGCCCCGTGCCGTGGCCGTCGGTGCCCGGCTCGGCTCCCTCGCCGTGCCAGCCCACGCGCAGGGATTGGTGCACGCGGGGGTAGCTCTGCATCTCAGCGCCTGTCTTTGCCGCTGGGTCCTGCATAGCCTGTGAACTGGTGTCCCTGGGGGTCTGCCCTTGGGGTGGGCACAGGGGCCATGTCCCCCACCCCTCCCCGTGTCCCACCTCCATCCCCGGCTAAGCTGGGGGCTGAGCACGGAGGTGCTCGGAGCAGAGCTGGCCGCAGCCCTTTGTGTCTGGGCCGAGGCTGGAGGAGCTGGGAGGCAGTGGGTTCACCATGTGCCCGCCCCTCTTTATCCCCTGCTGTAACGAGGGAGTAGCTCATTAAGGGCCGCAGTGGCTGGAAGTGGCACTGATGCGACATGTTGCCGGAGCGCGCGTGACCCCGGTCACCTCGTCTCCAACCGGGTTTAATTAAACTGTCAGCGCCGGCCGGAGGAACAAAGGGCTGTTTGCTCTCCCCTCCTCCCAGTGCAGCGGGGGCACGCGAAACGAGGGGCTGGTGGAAATGGATCACCGCTTGCCCCGGGGGAGTCGCTGAGGCGGGAAGGTGACCCCTGCCGCGGCACTGGTGCGGGGGCCTTCGGCTCCGCGGTGCTGGTCCCTGCACCCTTCTGC